TAACATCAAATTTTATTAGAAAGAATTACATTAGCAGTAGCAAAGAGTTCAGTGTATGTCAAGAGCCTGGCCCTACTTTTGGACCCTAAAAGCCAAGAAAAAAATAAATCATTATTTGAAATATTTAGTTTTGGGACACCTCGGTGGCACAGTTGATTAAGCGTCTACTTTCAGCTCAGGTTCTCTCCTTGTTCAACGGGGAGCCTGCTTCTCCCTCTGCCTGCTGCTCCCCTGCTTGCACGCTCTCTCTCAATCTCATAAATAAAATCTTTAAAAAAAAAAAAAAGTTTAGTTTCTCTAAGAACCTAACAGGGACAAAACAGTAAAAGACAAAAACGCACCTCAGCTCATTCTACATCATCTGCAGCAATTTCCCAAATACCTCTAACTAAATATTTATTATGGGGATTAAACATGTCATTATTAACATGCCCACAGACCTGAGAATCTTCCAGAGAACACAAGTGAAAGCCACTTTTCTAATCACAACCAGCTTAAACTAAGACATCAAGTCTCCCTTTCTATGGAAATAGTTTCCCTATCTATGACTATAATGTCAATACAAATAAATACCAACCATAAGATACAAACTAAACTATTTAAATCTCATGACTGTAAATCATGAACTTTAATAGAGATGCTCTAAACAAGACATATATTTTGATCTGTAACACAATTCTGGGCTGGTTGTTTTATCTTTAAATCACAATATGACAGACCGGTCTAATCTCGTTATGACTTAATGGACTTTTATAACAAGGCCAAAACACCCAGAGCAGAAGAATCAATTTGTTTCATCAAATGAAAAGTGTGCCCAGCCTGATTTATCATATAGTCTAGTATACACACCCTTATCTTAAAGACCCGTTAATTTAGGAAAAAATTAATCAACCATGAACAAAGTAATATTAAATTATTGGGCCAATTTTTCCTACTACATAAGAAAATGCAGGCTGTTCAGTTTGGTTCTGTTAAAGGAAGTTAATTTAAACACCTTTTAAAATAACAAAAACATAGGTAAAATTCGGGAAATCTATTCAGGTTGGTATATATAATCCAGTGTGGGGACTACAGCGATGCAAAGACTGATTTTATAACATATTCAAAAGTTTCTGTCCCCAGTAAGTCTTACCCAACTTTCCCAAAAGCAATCATTACAAAAATCTATTCCAATGATGTTGTCACTCTTGCTAAATAGTTTATAGAAGCCTGTGGCACACTTTTGTCAAATACATTTAATGGTAGCAAATTTTAAATTCTCTAAGAACAGCTCTGATTTATGGGAACAGACAACTGTCACTGAGAACTACAACTGGCAAATAGATCAAATAACCTCCTGACTTAAAAAAAAAAAAAAAAGGATATGGACTACAAGGTTTTGAGTAAGTTTAGTTTTCTTAAAAACTATTAAAAGCAAATTTAAAATGGGAATTCCAAGCATTCTGAGCAGCAATATTATCTACACAATGAAAGTATAATCCTATATCGTGTTCTCCAAAATTTTAAATAATAATTGAATAAAGGACCATTACTGGTACCTCATATATATTATCTCAGTTAATACATATAACACTCCTAGATAATTATCACTATTTCAAGGGGAAGACATGGAGTCTGAGTGCTCTGAGTAAGCTGCCCACGTAATAAGGGAGACACCAGCAATTATATCAGTCGAATTTATACACAATATATAGTCACAGTTATATATGTAGGATACCTATCTTTCTTAGGTTTTTGACCTACACAATTGGTCTGTTCCTATAACAGCTACTACACATGTGTATTTTAGCATTTGCCATCCTGTACTACAATCATCTACTTACCAATTTTCCCTTCCAGAGAGAATAGACTATGCTTTGTTCATCTCTGTAATCCCAGAACATAGCCCTGTACTTAGCATATCTACATAAATTTCTTCTTAGTAGCTTATCCACAGTTCTGATGTTATTTTTACTAGCTGCTCATAGGTGGTGAATATTACAGAAACATTATCAGACCAGTAGCCATTCCTTCAGCTTCAAGACGCTCAACCACCACCACAATTAGAGAAGGCTCAGCCAGAAAGAATGTTCCATACAACCGACCCCAGTGTGTATGGTTATTCTTAAAATCTGAAGCAGCACATTACGTGTATAGGGCTCTTGTTTTTTTAAGTTTCATAAAGCTGCATCTACACTTACGTTAGTCTACTTCCAGTAGTTCAGATACATTATAGAAAACTCAGTTACAGAATCACTCCACATTCAGTATATACAAAAATTATGGAAAAACACAAGACAACATATCATCAACAGCATAAAATAAAAGCTTGCCAATAAGCTACCTTTTCATTATAACATGACTACAGAGTCCAGAGGAGCAAAACCATACAATTTATGTGCTTTCCCACATGAGAAACTAACAGAGTCAGATGTTAATGGCATTTTTGAGAACGTTACAGTGTAATTATAAAATGACACAGGTTAATATTTAAGGCGACATCAAATCTCTCAAAATAAAATGAATGTTTACAAGATTAAGTTTCTGTTCTGTTAAACATTAAATAAAGGTGTTGGAACTTAAACGGAAATGTAAAAATACAGATGACCTAGAACTAAAACTAGTTAACAGAATTAATGGTATTTTTCCTTCAGTTAGGGGACCTTTTACCTAAAAAATGTTAAAGCATGTGGTTTGTTTTCAGTTTTCTTTCCAGTTCTAGAAATTGACTATGAATCCTTTTCTAGTATTTACCTTTCTCTTCCCACCTTCCACCCACTCCTATCCCCAAACCTGGTTTGGATGTCTTTTTTAATCTTTCCAAAACAAGGGAGTGAATTCAAATGTCACGAACTCTTGGATAAAGAGTTAAAATGATAGCATCATAGGACTATCCTGACTTTCTTTAAAGTAGTATTAGTCTTCTAGAATACTAATCTAATTCTTAGAAGCAGAAAACACAGGAAGCTCAATGTTCCAAGAAAAGTTAATAATAATTGATTCATCCTGGCTACCCAGGAAATACACAGCAAGGATCTGTGTTCTATGCAAATACTGACAACAAATCCATCTAGTAATACCTACCACCCGGGGACAAGAAAAACAGAAATAGAGCTCACAAGGCAAATGCACAATGACCATAAAGTACAGAAAGAAAACATCAGCAATTAAGAGGTGAGAAGGGATCAGAGCTGGATGAAACACAATAGATCAGGAAGCTTATACTGACAGAGGTAGATGGGGCAGTGGAAAAGACAAGATCACCACTGATGGGAGATGAGAGTGGGATGCAAGTGGACAGGAAGTGAGGTGGACACAGGTGAGGGGTAAAACAGGAAGGAGCTAGAGATGACAGAAGCTGAACTGCAAGAAATAACAACAAAAGACTTGGAGGCAACAGAGTAGGAAGGAGGCCCACCCAAGGAAATAGACAGTAAGAACAGAAATCACTTTCAAAGGGAGGCTGAATCATGGAAAAAGCAGCAAGTAGGCAAAACACAGATAGTAAGCAAGGAATTCTGGACAGATGGGGGAAAAAAAGGTAAAAGCGACACGAGGTGATAAATAGATAAGCCAGAAAGGAGAAAAATGGGTGAAGCAAATAGGCCTACCAGGGAAGGAAATATTTATTAAAAAATGGTTTCTGGAATTTCAGCTTACTAAATTTTAAAAGCTGCTCTTTTGCCTACATTCCTCTCTGCTGCGTAAAACCTGATTCATAAAAATAGAGGTTTCCTCAATTTAAAAAGAAGAAAACTATGGATCAGGTCAACTGACTCAGCTGCAAAAGTAAGAAGGGTTGAAAACAATAAAATTTACTATTAATGATCTTAGTTGTAAGCCACAAACCAATTTTTATACTGAAAATGTGAATATACACATTAATGACTTTAATGACCAAATGCTTCATTTGTTAAGTACAAAAGCTTTTCTCTCCTGCTTCATTTGCTAGTTACAAAAGTGCTCTCTCCCCTCTTCCTTTCCTCTCTCTCTGCACTTAACCAGCATTTGGAGAAATCCCTGCTTCTTACTGCTTCCCCCAAAAAGGAAAGTGCAGAGTAAGAAGGTAGTATTTACATCAATATTGCTAAGAAGAAGTTTGATGGAGGTTTAAAACGAGTTTAAAAGAGTAATGGTTAAAAGATGTTGTAAATTTTCTATAAGTTTTTACAATCCATGTTTTTCTGGTCTCCTAGATAACTAAAAACACAACACAGACATCATCCTTCATTTCCACCTAAAAAGAGTAGAGGAAAACCAAACATTGAACAAGAATATAAAAATAGTTACGAGGAGCAAATCTGAAAAACGAATGGAAATTATTCTATTCTTAATCTTAGAAAATAACCTTGGGCAGGAGAGAACAATAATAGAGATCTATTTATGAAGATGTAATTCTTATTTTTAAACTGAAAAAATATGGTCATTAGATCTTCAGGCTAAAAAAATTGTGCAAGAAAAAGCAGGCACACAGAGAGGCTGAGAGTAGATTAAAGATGAATCTAAAGCTGCAAGACTGTGAACAAACAGCAGCGCATTATGAAGAAGCAATTCATCAACATCCTGCCCCTGTAGTAATTACCGAGCTGAAGCTGGTTTCTGCAGCCCTTCCCATTTCTCCTACTATAGCCACTAGTTCTCCATCCACATGAAATAAAACTCTGTTCATGAGGGGACTACCAGCTATTGCAGTAGAGGAAAGTAACTCAAATATTATACACAAAAGCAGATGGGTTAACAGAGGTGCTGTAAGAAACATGTAAAGATATGTGCTAGAGTCTTTCACTCATATTTTCAGAACTATCTTCTTTCAACTCCTCAAAACTTCTAAATGATATTGGTGTGCTTCTTGAAATCTGCCTTTTCTTCTTCTTTTTTTTTTTTTTAAACCACTCTTCCATGAATATCTTAATGAGTCACTTGGCCAAGTAGTCCATTCACAGGCATCACGAACATTATTATCGACTTCTGGAAATGGATGCTGCTCCACAGGCTTTAGGAGACTTCTTGAAGGAACAAACCTGGTTCTTTGGTCTATGTTGAGGACATGCTCAAAACAGGATTCTCTCTCATACTCAAAGATGACATGGAAGCCAAGCTGAGCTTTTTCCAAAGTAAGATACCTTTAAAAAAAAATTTTACAAAAGTTAAAAATCAACTAAATTTTAAAAACACGAAACCCTAATAAAGCAGCACAAATTCCCACACAGTACTACATTTTAGCTAAGATTGAAAAATAAGTAATTTAAATAAAAAAATTTTAACCTTTCACTTCAGCTTTAAATACACTATATTTTCAAGAAACTTTAACAAAGCATCATAAAATACACAATAAAAATACTGCAAATAATGGACAGTTCCTGAAATTAATACAAAAACATCTGTTAAAATTGTAAAGAAATTCTGGTGATTGAAGTTTTAATCTTTACCATGGCCAGGACAGAAATCAGGCTTTGAGAAAACACAAATTTTGCTGCATTCATGTATTACTCGAAATTGTGTGAACAAGCACAGTTTATATTAAGCTGTAAAATGAGCTACTGAATTGACTTGGAAAATTTCTTCCAGCCATAAAATTTTGAAATTACATGTTATCTGGTGACACAATCTTGGTACCACTAAACCAGCTCTAGGCAAGTCATCTGATTTTGCCTCAATTTTCTTATCTATAAAATACAAGGCTGGTACTTACAGAGGGAGGCGGGCACTAGGATCACTTAAGGATCCTTTAAAATACAGATACCCAGGCCCAGCTCTACAGAATCGAATCTTTAGGGTAAGGCTAAGAGATCTGTTACTTTCATCATAAACCCTGGGTCATTCTGACGGACACTCCTACTTAAAGAACCACCGCACTAGATCAGCACTGGATCACATTCAGGATCCTGCTCTGAAAACCCTAAAATTCATCCAATGGGGCAGTAGAGATTTTATCAAATTATCCCATACTGATAGAACAAAAATAAATGAAACAGTGCTTCATTTTCTCTTTCCCTAAAACCCCCCATTTAGAGAAAAACCTGAAATTAAGATTAAAGCTAACACGCCAGTCGGAAAAACACTTCAACATAGATTATTTTAACTCGAATTATTTCCTAGGATGTTTAAATAGAATACAAGGGTGCGACAATATCCATTGTTATAAGCTGCTTCCTTGACAGGCCATCCCCAAATATGTGCTGATATTAAAGTGACAACTCAAATTATAAAGCTATCCCCAAGACAAACAACGTGACCGCCTGCCCAGCAGAAAGGATCTAAAACAAAGAATACTATACCTGCAGAGCGTGTGTCCTCCCTGGCTGCTAACCAGGATTGGGGCCCATCCTTCATTCAAGGGCACTTCCTCCTCTGATTCCTGGACAGTGGGGGTGCTGACGTATGTACTCCCCTATCTCTGGAGTCGTTTAGATTCAGTGACTCTGCTGATGCCCAACACCCCCAAAATAATACTGTCAGCTCCTGACAAAAGGGACACAAAAGTGGGTTTTCAGAGAATCCCATTTCTCTTCATCTTGCTTCATCTTGCAGACCCACATCCAATTCCACACAGCTTCAGAATCACTTCACTCCAGGTCTGTCATCCAATCAACAGCACAATTTTACAGTTTTTTTCCACCAAAGAAATATTTCTTGGTTTGAAGAGGCCTCCTGGCCCCAACAGTGCTCTCTACTGCCCAAGACAAGCTGAAAAAGTGGATCGAGATTCCACGTAAGGACAAAGCAAATGGATAGAAGCACATAGGAAACTTTCAGTAACACTCACTTCCTGGTAAATTACTACCGCTAGGGATGAATCTATTAAGTGTTTAAAAAGAAAAGCAGTAAGACATCAAGTATCATTCAATATTATATCTCACGTAAGTTTTCCTGCTGAATCACTGTCCTAGAATTCAGTACCTACAAAGAGTTATAATCCTCGTTTAGCTCTGAGATTCAAAATTCAGTTTCTCTCCCCTTGCCTTTAGTCATTTCAAAACACTGCCCCGTAACCATTTGTCAGACGCTTGTATTTGGAAAATCCACAGCATTGTTTCTGCAGTGCAGTCACTGCAATCTTTTATGCTATTTTGAAATCTGAAAGAGGCTTTTACAGTTGAAAAAGTAGTGTCAACTTTTAGATCTCTCTTCTTTGGTAAAGTAAATTTCCCACAGAAACGACACTGACTGGGGGGGGGGCCAGACCACCTGGGTTCATAGCCAGTCTCCCTATTTACTATTTGCATTGTGATCTTGGGCAAGTAACTTAATTACCTCCTGAGCCTCAGTTTCCTCATTTTAAAAAGGGGATTCTAACTGTACCTATTACTTCAAAATTTCATTATGAGATTCATATAAATTAACAGGCAAAGCCTCCAGGAACAGTATCTGGCACGTTTTAAGCACTACCTAAATGTTAACTCTTATTATTACGTTGTTTCATTTAACTACAAATTCTCATACTGTTGTACACAATGTTTGCCTACTAAAATATTACCTACTTGAAGACTTGAACCACATTTTTAGTATCTCTGACGTTTCCCCTATGGTATCTAACATTCACTCAGAAAGCAAATATTAAGGGGCGTCTGGGTGGCTCAGTGGATTAAAGCCTCTGCCTTCCACTCAAGTCATGATCCTAGGGTCCTGGGATCAAGCCCTGCATTGCACTCTTTGCTCAGTGGGGAGCCTGCTTCCTCCTCTCTCTCTGCCTGTCTCTCTGCCTACTTGTGATCTCTGTCAAATAAATAAAATCTTTAAAAAAAAATAATAAAAAAGAAAGCAAATATAAACCTACTCTGTAGATATTATTATACTATATAAGCAAGGAAACATAGTACCTTATCAATAGTACCTTATCAATATATATTCTCTGCCCTCGAGTAGCCTCTAGTTTAGATGGGGAAAACAAAACACGGAAATGCTCATATAACAGTATAAAGCCATAAAGGATTAAATGCCAAAGTATGTGGCATAAACATCGAACATCAAAGGTCTTTTTGTGGGCTGAAGATTCTGTGAAGGAGGTAAATTGGAGTGGCCAGGCCACTAAAGTGGGATCTTCAGTAGTGCAAAGAAAAGAGGATTCCGATGTGTTTTTGTTCATTCTACAAACAGTCACCGAGTGAGTACCTTCTATACTTCAGGCTCTGTTCTCGGCTCTGGAGATATGGCAATGAGTGACAGAAAAGATCCCTGTACTCTGGAGCTTCAAAGGGCACTCCACATGAGAGCCAAGTTTTGAAGGAATGAGAAGAGCTTATCTCCCAAAAGGATGAAACAACATTGCTTAAATGCCTTACAAACAGGAGCCAATGCTGGCATCATGGTCGCTCTGACTTTCCAACAACGACAAACATACAGAAATGGCTGCCATGAAAAATTCAGTTAACTTTCATGTACTGTATTCTAAATGTTCCGTTGTTCGTAAAACACATCAAAGGGATAGTCTCCATATTTCTGGATACATGTAACATACAAGAGATTTTAAACACATAGAGTTAATACTATTGGATTGATTTTCGTAACAGAGGCCACTGGAGGCCCAGTTCCTAAATTCTGCCCAAATGAAAAACCTATTAATGCTTTGCTGTATACCCCTGAGCTTTGTCTCTACCCCCAATCCACCCACTTTTTCCTTTCTTCACTTGACCTACTAGCGGCTGCCCACAAATATCAAGTATCTACTAGGAAAGTGCTTGAAGATGCATGTGGTGACAAGATGACAAGAATCTGTCAGTCACGATGGGTGGAAGTATTAACTCCAAAAGAAAATACGTGCATTTTTTTCTTCTTCTATCGTTCCACCGAAGACAACTCTCTACTTATCCCTCCCCAAAAGAAGGCCTTGGAGGTAAACGAACCCTTTTATAAATACTGACCGGCAAAGCATTCCCAATCTCTTCTTCTCCAATGACTGGGCCACTAGAATCTGGAGACAGGTTAAGTCCAATGTGCACTCATCACAAATAAGATGCATTTTTCCAAAACATCTCCCTTGTCCTCTCCAGTCCTTCTCATCTACTTCCACTCTCACAAGATGCAAACTGTTAGACCTCACCATCACTCTCATCATTGTTATGCCTATACAAATCATTATATCTTTGGAAACACAGTCAAAATAAACTTCTTGATTAAGGATGTCAAAACTACTCAATTAAATCCAGTCAAAATGTTCACCTCTTAATGCACAATGTACTGGACTCCAAACTGCTTATGATATTAAAGGCAAAATGAAAAATTAGGTAGAGACCCCACAATGCAGATAATCTAACATTCTTAACATTTGTATACCCACGAATGTTAGATTCATCAACAAAGTAATAACCAATCCACTGATTTTTATTTCCTTGGTTTGGTATTGGAAAATTACTCTTCTTGTTTCATCATCATTTGTCGATCCCTAATTAGGAATGCCACTTAGAAAAAATATGGTAGGAGGGAGACTTTCAGAAGGCCATTAGGGCTTCCCCAACATTTACCTTCTACCAATGTCCAAGAATAGCCTGTTTCACTGGGTGATGATGGTGTGTTATGGGAACTTGGATAAATGAGACACGGTGCTTTCCAATACCCAAGTAAAGAGAATAATTGCAGTTCTATGCAATTTTAAAGACATCTTCCAACTTGAAAAACATATTAATTTACTCTATGAGTCATTTTATATTGCCAACACCCTTTATCGCAACAGCAGAAACAGAAGTAATTAATAATACACACACTCCACATTTAGACCTATTCAAATCAGACCCATGTATTCAAAAATTTTTGAGCAACCTATGCTTACACAAAAGTTATCCCAGAAGATTAAATGAGATAAAGCATGTACCATTTGGCACAGGCCCCGCAAACAGGCAGTACTCAACATTACCCGTTATTATTGTTCCTAATTTTCCAAATTCAGAGTCAAACTAAATGGTTATAAGGCATATATATGGCAATGTATGTATAATACATAAAAACTAAAATGTATTAATACTATAAATAAAGCTAGTACCTTACTGTACCAAGCAATGCTCTCTAGACAAAGGTGAGCTTAATTTTAACAGAATGAGCCACAAGAAAAGGCAGAGAAAACTTGCTAAGGGATTTGGGCTAAATGTTAGCTCTTACCTCTGCTTATTAATTAAGACTACAACTTGTACAAGGTCTAGGATGAATTATAATTAGCAGTCAGCTGACCCTAGAGAACTACCTCAAGCACGTGGACAATGACCATTTATGCCCAAGGCTGCTACCAACCACTGAAATCTGATGACTTCCACACTGATGCTGAAAACCTGCATAAATTCATTACCTGTCTTATGCTAGAAAACCTATTTCTCAAATCCCTATACACACTTTTTTTTTTTTAAAGACACAAAAATCACTTCAACGGACAATACCGCAGCATCCTGGGCACATCCAGTTTTTAAAACACAACAGTCTCAGCCACGCAACATTTATTATGACAGAGGAAGTGGGAAGACAGTGTGGAGAGCATATGCTTTCTCAAGTGAGGTATCAAAGTAAATATTAAAAGTAACTCTATGTCCTCATTACGGAAAAAAAAAAAAAAGTCTTCGTGTTGCCCAGCTTAACCCCGATTTGTGGGACCATGCACATTCCCCCTCCCACGCTTTGAGTCACGCCCGGGCGCGCCGAAGCGGGGCGGGAAGAGGCACGGAACTCCGGGCAACGACCTGTCCCCGCTACTTCTCGCCCGGTGTTGGCGCACCACAGCTCCACCCACGTGGGCTTCCAGACTCGGGCGGCGACACCCCCCGCCGGCACCGGCGCCCGGCGCTCCAGCCCGCCCGACCCGCCCGCGGGGGGCTCCGGGCTCGGGCCGGGGGCTCGCGGAGGGCGGGGGGGCGCGCCGGTGACACGCCGCGGGGGTTGGGGGAAGGGAGCCCGGCTCCACTCACGCGCCCGGGGGCGGCACCGGAGCAGCCGCGGCGTCGCTCCCGTTCAAACACTGAAAAGGGGGGCGGGGAGGGCGGGGGGAAAGACCTGGCTCCTCGTTTCATCCGGAAACCCGCGGGCCGGCAGGAAATGACGAAGGCAGAGGTCGTCCAGGTCCGTTCGGCGACCGGGCCCCGCGCGTCCGGCGAGACTCCGGGGGGAAAGAGCCCCGAGCGGAGCAGCCTGGCCGCGTGCCGCCTCGCGAGCCAGCAGCGTGAGTGGACCCGCGTCTCCGCGCCTCCCGGGCCCGAGGCGGGGCCGCGTCACCCGGCCCCGCCCCCTCGCCCGCGCGCCGCCCCGCCCCGCCCCGCCCCGCCGGGGCCTCGCGCGGGAGGAGGAAGGGATCGCTCCCTGCAGCGCGTCCCCCGACCCGGGCCCTGAGCCTAGCGCGTGCCGCGAGCCTCTCAGGGTCGTGAGGAATAGTGAGGCTCCGAGTGCGGGAGATGCGGGCGGTACACCGAGGCAGCCGCGCCGGCGACCGGGGATGGTGCCGTTGAGCGCGGGTGTGTTCGGATCCCGCAGGGTTTCGCAGCCTGCGAGCGGCGAAGCGCCAAAGCCGTTCCGGCAGCTCCGGGAGCGGCCGTGGTCGCTTCCTGGGAGGGGATTCTACTCTATTCCCGCGCGGCTGGATTTCTCTCCGGGAGGAGAGGGTGTCGCAGAGCCGGGGGCGCGACTGCAGGGGCTTCAGGTTTGGGTGTCAGGTGCATGGGACAGCCCTGGCCTGTGCAACTTGGAGCAAGTTACGTAACCACCACTCCCACCTTCCCGGTTTCTTCTGTAAAACGGAGCTTCAGGGCCTCCCGGCAGAAATGCAGCATGCCGACTGCCCTACTGGTGAACCCGCAAACTGCCTCCTTCCTCTTGGTTGAGGGCCTGTTACCTCGTACCCTTCTGATTCAGGGGCTCAAACCTTCAGTGTTTCAGAGGACAGAGAAAGGAAATTACATTTACGCAGTGCGTTGTGTTGTAAGGCACTGTGTAAGTGATTCTAATCCGAATTAAGATAGCAAAGCTCTGAGAGACAAAAATGGCAACATTTAAGGCATAATGACAAGTGCTACACAATTTTAGAACCACCTAGATATGGAGTCAGGAACCTGAAATCAGGAAACGGATTTTAAAACTTATGATATAATCACTTGATCCCTGGAAAATTTTCTCCTAGTTCTCAACCAAGTTAATCAAACTAAAACTAACCCCTTAGTTGCCATATTTTGGGAACTCTGTCTCTGGATACTAATGTTTTACTTGGGTCTTAATTCAGCTCATCCTAGAATTTCCTTACCGAAATTGTTCAAGCATTAGTGTCCAGGAAAAATATGTGAAAAAAGTTCAGTTTTCTCAAAAGAGCCCTCCATGACGATCTGGGCACGTGGCTTGCTACCTTAGTGATCTTGCTGAAATACTAACTTCCCGGGAATGCACCATTGTAATGCCCATGGGCATTTTGCTTTAGAAGAAGGCTGTGGTGGTATGAAGTAACTACTTAGCAAGTATGTATGTGTACACTTGGTTAGACTGTAGCGTGCTGGGAGGTGACCGTCATAGTTAAGGCCACATGTGGGCCATGGGTCTGCACTATGACTCCGCACAAGGCCATTCCTTATTCCCGGCAGTCTTGCAAAGTCGTGCCATTGGTCATGATGGAGCACTGGGCAGGAGAGGCCTACCCTCAGTGCAAATCTTTCACAACTACAGTACTAAAAATAATTCAAGTGCGTGTCCCTGGAACTGTGGAATGGTAGTGTCATTGCATACCGATGATGTTGTATAATACATGTTGTTTCAGTCATGTTAAAATTTTACCATTCTGGGTCAGTAGTAATTCAAAATCCTTCTCTAAATACTATTCAAGATCGACATATTTGTAGCAGGATGAAGACAAGCTCTGTAGGAATATACCCCTTATTAAGTGGCCCATGAACAGAATTTTGTGAGAAATTGAAGCAAGAAATTAACCTGGGTCAGATCCATTCAGGTGTTAGAAAACACGCAGGAAACACTTCCGTAATTTGTCAGGTAAAGGACACCTGAGAAATGTTCTAGTGGCCATTGCTGTATGTCCCCTGTTTCTTCCTGAATTTAACAGCTCCCAATCCTGAAACCTACTACCCTTGCGGCATAATTGTCTGTGGCCTTCTGCAGCATCTCAAATCAGATATTCAAAGTCATCTCTTTTTGCCCAAAACACATTCGTTGTTGTTACTTTTCAGCACCAGCAAAATTCTAGATTCCATAAATCATAAAGATAATTATAGTCTCTTGTCTTCCAAAAGTTTCCATTTCTAAAATAGACTGATTACTTACTATGAATCATAATGTTACTTTCAGAGAAATTCTGGAGTTTAGTTTTAAGAAATAAGAATTAAAACTGTGAATATACCAAATCGCCCCTTGTCTTCCACTCTCTCAAAAAAAAAAAAATCTGTAGCCAGTCTTTCATATCAAGGAATTGGGTATGGTGTGATGTTTAAATAATACTTAGATCTTATATCTATAAATTTTTATGATTTAAAGTAAATTGTTTTTATTAATACTTGGCTGATTTTCACAAGACCAATCTTTATATTCATCGGACACCAATAGGTCTTTTAAAGTTTTCACTCTCGACCTCAGTGTCTAGAGGTTAAGTTATATGATCATTCATGACACTCACTTTATCATAAATGAATACAATATGTCCCCAAACATCTGACAAAAATTTCGGATGTCAGAACAACGAAAACATGCCATCTGGCCTAGGAGCAAACTTATGGAAGAATTTTATTCATTTTATGCAGAGGTGAGCTATAAGAAAGAAAACAGACATTTCCCTTAATGCACACTTATTAACTTACTAAGCCAGATCTACATTACAGAACATTTGGAGGCTCACAGGCGATTGGAAGATATTTTAGTGCAAGAATGTCTGCAAAGCCTTCATTGTTGTAGGATATCTAGAGAAAAATTGCAAAACAATTTCTTGGACTTTTCAGATACTCTTTTTCTTGGAATTAGAAAATGACTGTCTTATTCTTAGAAACTACAGTACATTGATCACCTATCGCTTGTTCAGTTTTTCTCCTTCTTATAGAATGTCTTAAAAATGCTTTTGGGTTTTTTTTTCACATAATAGGTCATTTTACTTATTAGACTTACCTTTTATGTCCAACAGAAGGGAGGAACTTTTTCTTCAAGGAAAAATTCAACTAACTCTCAAACACAAAGAGGAAACCATTACTCTTATACTTGCTATTTGATACACTGGCTCTTACCACTCTTATTTTCTGTGAAAATGTCCAAAGAATCCATTTCCGTGAATAGAAGTCACAGCTGTGTAAATAGCAAAAAGTAACTTTTTATCCCATAGCTTCTTTCAAGCGTATTTGGCCAGGAGGCCAAAACTAGATAAAGCTCCCAACATTTTCCACTTGCTGGAGAGGCCAGTGGAAGAGCATTGCGATGGCTGTCTTGTCTTTTCTAGGGTGCCGTCATGAGCATGACAGGATATTTTTTAACATCACGGCCAGTTGTTTGGGTCTGTGTTTTAAAATATTTGGGTGCTTTTGGGCACCTGGGTGGCTCAGTCGGTTAAGGGTCTGCCTTCAGTTCAGATCATGATCCCAGGGTCTTGGGATCAAGTCCCACATCAGGCTGTCCTGCTCTCCCTGCTTGTGCTCTCTCTCTCTCTCTCTCTGTCAAATAAATAAATAAAATCTTAAAAATAAATAAATAAAATATTTTGGTACTTTCATCTGGTGATAGTTACCGTTCAGAAACTGGACAGTAACATTTCAACCATATATCCTTTTTGTTATCTTTTCGTAATTGGGTTTTTAAACTCCAGTTTTCACTTCACTCAGAAAATAAAATGTTTCAAAATCAAAAATAAGGGGAAATATGTTACACGCCCTAGTTATGTAGGCCAGGAGTTGGCAAACTTTTTCTTAAAGGGCCAGGTGGTAAATATTTTTGGCTTCAAGGGCTGGGAAGCAAAAAGCAAGGATATTATACAGGTACATTTTACATTTTAATCATTTAAAATGTATCTGTTTAGAAATGTAAAACCATCCCTAGCCCCTGGGCCATCCAAAAGCAGGTGGCAGGCTGGAGTTGGCCAGCAGGCCTTATGTTTGCCAGCCCCTGTACAATCGGTCTTACCAGCACTAACAGAAACCCTACTCCCTTCTCTTTCTTCCAGCCCCATGCCTGGAGGTTACGGGGTGATGGGTGACGATGGCTCTATGGATTATAGCGTTCATGAGGCCTGGAACGAAGCCACCAACGTGTACTTGGTAGTGATCCTTGTTAGCTTTGTCCTCTTCATGTACGCCAAGAGGTAATATTTTTAGTATTTCAGGGTTGAAAAGAAAGCAGGCGTTTCAAAAGTTGACATGTTTGTTTGTTCCAAATTAAATGCACACAAATAATTTCATCAGTATTTTTGTTCCTGCTAGGGAAGTACTTCTCCTCGGGTCTGTTCTCGAGCTCTGGATGCCAGTTTGGCTTTGAAGAGCCCGTTGCTTTAGGATTTAAGTCCAGCTCTGGGCACCCTGACCGGCTTCATATTATATTATATAATATATATTATATACACTAAATATATAACATATTATATATGTGTGTATATATATATACACACACACATACATACATACACATATACACATATATTATATTTCTAATATAGCTCAGTTTGATCATCCAGCCTGGGTTCACTGTGCCTGAAATGCAGAAACTCAAATTCCTATGTTTTTAGCAATTCTCTCCTCACACATTTTAAGCTTTCCCTTCTGATTCTGGTACACAACCGTATGATAGCACTTACTGAATTATAATGGTATTATCTGACGACTTGTCTGTCCCTTCCACAAAAACTCCAGTCCCTTCAGAACAAGGACTTTGACCTTTAACCTTTGTGTCCCTGGCATGCCACATAGTGTAAATCCTCAATAAATATTTCCTGCTTTGATTCCAGGTGTTGTAGCATAATTTATTCTTTTCCATACTCCCTGGCTCCTTTCATTTAAATACCAAAAAAAAAAAAAAAAAAAAGATGGGTGCTTTGAAGAAGAAAAGCAGTTTTAGTTGGATGGAGTCACTTCTCCTTATAGCCACATGCTTCTTGGTATTCTTCACCAAGGTTAAAAAAGCATTCAATAGTTCGGAGTAATTAGTAATTGAGAAATAATTGATGTTTGGCCTGGGTAGCACCTGTTCTCAGGCAGGCAGTTTTGCCCTTCTGGGCCACATGACCCACCTACACCCCCCCCCCCCCCCCCCCCCCCCCCCCATCTGGATCGTCTGGCCCATTGGCAGCCTGGCCCCGGGGGTGGCTGAGAGAAGGCTCCACAGGTAACAGGTTTTCTCCAAAAATAGCAACCCTTTCCTCCCCACCATCCTGTTTTAAAAAAAGAGACACTGTTGTTGATTTTAAGTAGATGGATCCACTAAGGCCATGCCATTGTATTTAAGAAATACAGTGATTCATTATTTTCCAAAATTAAGATCTACTCGCATTCTGTTTATTTTCTAACCCAGTAATTTAGCTTTATTTGGATGACACCAGAGGGAGGAGAAAAATAAGATATTTTCTAGTTGGTGCATTTTGCCATCGAATACTAGATTTTTGGAGGGGTGCAGGAGTAGAAGCACAGTGGAGGTACGTAACTTTGTTGTATGAAGTGGCTGTGTTCAGCTTTCTTCGATTTCTTCAAGCTCTGTGGCCTTACACATATAACTTCATACTTTTTAGTTAAGGGAAGAACACTGGAGCCAAGGAAGCATCTCACAGAGACAAAAGAGAAGATGAGCTCATTGTTACTTAAGTCCTTTTAACATAGCTTCTAATTACTATGGTCCTGAGTCCATTACAGACCTGTAGCTATTAGTATAAATCTCTCTTTCGTATTGGTTTTGTGTTGTAGGAATAAAAGGAAAATTATGAGGATATTCAGTGTGCCACCTACAGCAGAAACTTTATCAGAGCCCAGCTTTTATGACACAATGAGCAAAATCCGTTTAAGACAACAACTGGAAATGTATTCCATCTGTAAGTATATTCTGTGTTGAACGGAGGCATGTTTAAAAATCGATTTTTTGGAATTGAATTCAATTAGCAAAAATTATCCGAAAGAATTGGTAATGAAAACTTAGTGCGTCTTTTAGATGCTCAGCGCAATGTTAGCAAAGGCAGATCTGCCGTGAAGTTGACGCTTCAGGACACTTTGCTTCTACAGAGCGTATCCAGGACCCTGAGAATAGCCCTAGAAATGTGCTCATATGATGATATTTTTATAAATTTTGCAAAAATTCAATATTTGAACCATCAGTTAAGACTGCTGTCTCTGCCTGCTCCAATCTGCCCCCTTCTGCACTTCCCCTCATGTGGAGTAGCATTGAAGAAACCAAGAGTATTTGGGGATCTGGCTGAGGTTGAGTTGGACCCGGATTTGAATTTTGTATTTGTGGAGTTTGCAGGCATTTCCATTAGAACTGAATCACTGCAAGCCGAAGCAAAATAAGAATGACTTGCAGGGGCGCCTGGGTGGCTCATACTGTTAAGCCTCCAACTCTTGATCTCAGTTCAGGTCTTGACCTCAGGATCATGAGTTCAGCTCTTGCACTGAGCTCCATGCTAGGCCTGAAGCCTACTTAAAACAACAACAACAACAAACAAAACAAAACAAAACAAAAACCAACAGCTTACAAGAATATGGCATGTGATATCAATGTGCAAGGCCAGAGTTCATGTCTTAATATTAATATGTCAGATAGTACTGAACACCATGAGTATGTATGTCAGGGACAAGAAATAAAGTTTAAAATATATGGAACCAGAATGAATTGTACGCCTAAGCCACAGCCTTTTATGCCACTATTTAAAAGAATGAGTTGTGGTTGGGCGCCTGGGTGGTTTAGTTGGTTAAGTGTCTGCCTTCAGCTCAGGTCATGATCTCAGGGACCTGGGATCGAGCCCCACAATGGGCTCCCTGCTCAGTGGGGAGTCTGCTACTCCCTCTCCTTCTGCCCCTCCCCTCTGTTCATGCATGCTCTCTCCCTCTCACTCTCTATCTCAAATAAAAATCTTTTTAAAAGATTAAACATTTTTAAAAAAGAAAGAGTAGTATTTTCCAAGGTGTAGTATGAAGTGAGAAGAGCAAGATAAAATAGTATATATACCAGGATGCTACTCTTTTAAAATCAAATGACCAAAATATCCCTTGTGTTATCTATGTGTAATATAAATGTCCTATGTAACCATGGAAGCATGGAGGAAGGCTTGGAAAGATACACATCAGATTATTAATGTACATTACCTTTTGGGACTGTGTGGGATTTAAGGGGAAAAGACTGGACATTTTTTTTTTTAAGATTTTATTTATTTATTTCACAGAGAGAGATCACAAGTAGGCAGAGAGGCAGGCAGAGAGAGAGATAGAGGAGGAAGCAGGCTCTCCGCTGAGCAGAGAGCCTGATGCAGGACTCGATCCCAGGACCCTGAGATCATGACCCGAGCCGAAGGCAGAGGCTTAACCCACGGAGCCACCCAGGCGCCCTAAGACTGGACATTTTTAAAAGACATCTACAGTAAAAAGTCAGGTGTGTGTGCACGTGTGTGTGTGTGCATAAAAAGAAGGAAGAAAGGATGATCACCCAAGATATCACTAGTATATACCTTGGATGGAATGGAATGTTAGGTGAAAAATAGAAAATAGAAAAATGAAATATAATTTCATTTTTTGAAATGAAATATAATTTATTTATTATTATTATTTTTATAAACATATAATGTATTATTAGCCCCAGGGGTACAGGTCTGTGAATCGCCAGGTTTACACACTTCACGGCACTCACCATAGCACATACCCTCCCCAAAATGAAATATAATTTCATCTAAAAAAAATAGAAAAATGTGTGTGTACACATATGTACACATATATATCATACATATCATATGTGTATACACATATGTATATACACATACACATATCTTTAAATAAATAAAGATTTTATTTATTTATTTGACACAGAGAGGGAGTGATCACAAGTAGGCAGAGAGGCAGGCAGAGAGAGAGAGAGAGGGAAGCAGGCTCCCCGCTGAGCAAGCAGAGAGCCCAATGTGGGACTCCATCCCAGGACCCAGGATCATGACCTGAGCTAAAGGCAGAGGCTTAACCCACTGAGCCACCCAGGCGCCCTAGAACCTCTAAAGTCTTAAGCACAAATTGTACCTTAACTAGTGACAGCAGTTCCTTTAGGGGAAGGAGCTGGGTGGTAGCTGCAGTACTGATCAGGTAGGAGGGAGATATGCTTTTTACTGTTTCCTTTGTTCCTTTTGCATTTTGTACCATCCGCATATGTTACCAGTTCAAAAGAAGAAGTAACATTTAACAAGCAGCCTTATCTCAATAGCCAAAAGGCGGAAACAACCTAAGTGTCCTTGACAGATACGTAACATGTGGTAGAGAAACACGGTCGGATGTTATTCAGTCTTCAAGAGGAAGGAAATTCTGACACATGCTTCAGCACAGATGAACCTGAGGACATTATGCTTCACAATTATTCTTATGAAGACAAATAAGCCAGTCACAAAAAAACACGTATTTTACTTGTAGGAGGCAAATTGGCAGAGACGGAAGGTAGAATGGTGGTTGCCAGAGGCCTGGGGAACAAGGAGTGGGGAGTTCTTGTTTCGTGGGTGCGGAGGTCAGTTTGGGCTGATCGGAAGAGTTCTGTGGATGGCCGGTGGTGATGGTTACATAGCACTATGAACTGTACACTTAGAAATAGTTACAAATGGCAATATTTGTGTGTATTTTACCACAATAAGAAAAGTTCCTTGAAAAAATGTAAATACTAAAAAATAAAATGAATGTAGAGCCAGAAGCTCTATATGGTAAATTATAAAACATTAAGTTTCCATGCATGCCCAGTCAAAACAAAGTTATTTCCTAGCAGTAATACACTCAATAACATAGTCTATACTATCATAAACCAAGTATAGAGGTTTTTTTCTTCTTTGATAGCAATGCCACAAAATATAACTTATCAGAATCCCTGTGTTTATAAGGTGTGCTAGTTTTCTGCTGCTGCTGTAACAAATCACTAAAAATCCTGTAGCTTCAAACATCGCAAATGTGTGATATTACAGTTTTGTAGTGTAGAAGTCCTACAACAGTCTGAAACCAAGGTGTCAGCAGAGCCCTCTTTCCGGAGGTTCTAGAAGAGAGTCTGTAACTTTGCCTTTTCCAGCTTCTAGAGGCCACCCACATTCCTCTGCCTCCATCTTGGGAGCCAGCAGCATTTAATCTTTCTGATCATTCTTCCTTTTTTTGTAGCCTTTCTCTGCACTCAGGAAAGTGTCTCTGATTTTTGAGGCCCATGTGATTAGGCTGGGCCAGATAATACAGGGTACTCTCTCCCTCACAAGGTCCTTACCTTAATCACATCTCCAAAGTCCTGTTTGCCCTGTAAAGTAACATATTCATAGATTCTGGGGACAAGGATGCAAACATCTCTAGAAGCCATTTTTCTTTTAAATAGTATATGTGTGGGGCGTGTGGGTGGCTCAGTCGTTTAGCAACTGCCTTCAGCTCAGGTCGCTATCCCAAGGTCCTGGGATCAAGCCCCCCACCAGTCTTCGTGCTCCGTGGGGAGCCTGCTTCTCCCTCTCCCACTCACCCTGCTTGTGTTCCCTCTCTCGTTGTGTCTCCCTCTGTCAAATAAATATGTAAAATCTTTAAATAAATAAATAAATATTATATGTGTGGATTTGCCCATTTTATGAGTCCCCTCACAGTGGCTCATTCTTAGTGTTTGTGAGCTATCTAGTCCTGACAGTCTGGCAGTTCAAGAGGAAATAACAAAAAAATTCTTTTTCTTAAAGAGGATTCCCAAAATTGTACAAACTTTAGGCCACAAAAATTTGGATGCACCCTGAGTAGAATAAATAAATAGTATCTCTTTCTTGACTAGTAAAAACTTAAAGAAGAGAGTGAAAGTTTTAACATTCACAAAGATTTTAACTCCATACTTTGTCTAGTTGCAGGTTAAAACCGTTCTTCTTCAATAAACATTTCTCAGAAGTACAGAAAGGATACAGAATGCCTATCTGTTTTTCTTCTAGTTTATATCAATGACAGCATTCAATAATAAGTCTCTTAGACTCAAAAGTTGAAATACAAATTCCTTATGATGTGGACAAAAGTAGTATTATTAACTTATCTTAGGGTGGAAGTGGGAGACAAGAAAGAAGGAAATTATAAAATGTTAATTTAACTTGGGGTGCCTGGATGGCCCAGTCGGCTAAGTATCCGACTGTTGATTTTGGCTCAGGTCATGATCTCAAGGTTGTGAGATCAAGCCCCACATCAGGCTCCATGCCCAGTGCTTTCTGCTTGCCCCTCCCTCTGCTCCTCACCCCTCCCTCCCCCCAACTCATGCACATACACTCTCTCTCAAATAAATAAACAAAATCTTTTTTTAAAAAATGTTAATTTTAATAGCTTCATTAAAAAATTATTTTAGGGGCACCTGGGTGGCTCAGTGGCCTCTGCCTTCGGCTCAGCTCATGATCTCAGGGTCCTGGGGTTGAGCCCTGCATCAGGCTCTCTGCTCAGTGTGGAGCCTGCTTCCCCCGCCCCTCTCTCTGCCTGCCTCTCTGCCTACTTGTGATCTCTGTCAAATAAATAAATAAAATCTTTAAAAAAATTATTTTAAAGCTCTGAATAATCTTGATCTACAAATAATAATAAATATATAAAAATGGATATCAGCAGTATTGAGAAATAAGAAGATCACAAAATATAATAAATTTTCTCTAATAAAAAATTATTTAATTCAAAGCTAATTCTTTACTGAGAATCATGACTTGACTGTGATTTAATGATGTTAGCTAATTATTTTTTTACTTTTTATTAATTTTATCTCTTTCTTTTGTTGTTGTTTTTTGTTTTGTTTTTGAATAGCAAGGAAGTATGACTATCAGCAGCCACAAAACCAAGCTGACAGCGTGCAACTCTCGTTGGAATGAAATCACAGAAAACGAACAACATAAGTAATGGTTCAGCAGTCTAGTAGTAAGCTCCTAAATATACTAAATCATGAACAGCATTTTTTTTTCAAACCCTATGTACCTAAAATCACTTCACTTGTCATTTCTCCCCAGTTTTATTTTTCTTTTCAAAATTACATCGCCAAGTCATTTATTATACCAAAAAGGGTGGAAGGGGAAACAGGGGAAGCACAGACTATAACCAGGGATGGTGATTTTACCTTGTGAAGACCTTTGATTTCTTCAGGATACAGTCAGTGAGGAATAGAAATACATCTTTGAAAGTGACATTCTGGAGAGTATGCCACTGTGATTTAAACATTTTTGTGAAATTCAAAAGTAAAAATCCAGTCCTTGGAAGAATATCATCCTCTTCAGTCGTATTCTGTAATGAATGTAATACAGGTAGTGGACAAATTTGTGTTCTCACTGCTGTCCTTACTGCGCTTTAATTGAATTAACGATCTTCGCTGCTTCCGAACTTCTGCAGGAGACTGTCTTTTCTACTCTCTGCTAATTGTGGAAGCTTTCTGTGATTGGAATGTTTTCCCTTCATTGTGTTCCCAGGAGCTTGCTTTTTTTTTTTTTTTTTTTTTAATACCCAGTTTCATCCCATCAGAACAGTCTTCTTTGGACCATGCTGGAGGCATGCCGTTGAATAATATACACCTGGTGTTGGCAACTGGCTTCTTGGCCGCGTAACTCTCAAGTTTAATGTGACTGGTTCCTTACACTTCTCTATTCTAGCATAATTAAACTTCCCTGAAAACTCTCCTGTCTTGTACCGTACCTTGAAATGTTTTTACCTAGTTTTTCAAGTTTATTTAAATAAGAGTTGGTGGGAGGTAGTGGCCGGGAAATTTACCTGTCCCCATCATTGTCGTAGAATTAGTTTTTGAATCCAAGCTTGTCTTGATTTTAAGAGTTAGAGTTAATATTTCAAGGATTGTTTCCTTTTCCCTTTATAATTGTGAAGTAAAGAACATAAATTTTAAATGGAAAGGTTTAGACCAAATAAAATTATGGAGGGAAATTGCATTTGCTTTTAAATTTTATTATTCAAAAATGTCTTTCTTGTACAAGGTGAATTGTTGACCAAATGGAATAACTCTTTCTTGACTCACAGAAGGGTTTGAATGCACTACCAATACATACACTGACTTCAGGACTGTAAACAGTTAAAATTATGGGCAGGAGGTCGCAGAGCAGCAAGGGGACAATCTTCTTAAACTCTGCTTTGCTTTTGGGAAAGCCACTTTATATTTCTGTGAACAGAAATTGTAATCAGGAGCAGGAGCAGTTTCCTTGTATCACTGACATGTTGCACAATCTGGACAAATGACAAAATCTGACCATCTCAGATGATCTGAAAAAATAGTGTACATAAGTAAATGTAAGTCCCAGTGAAATTGACTGTGGTTTGTTTTTGGTTTGCCTCCACTAGCTACAGACAGTCAAAACCAAAAGGTGGTAGATCCTTAGGTGAGCATCAAACCTTGGCAAGGGAGAGGATGAATTCCTCCCCATTTTTTCTCTAAAGCCAACTGATGGGAATTACACCCCCACCCCCCACCCCCCACCGGCAGGAACAACAGCGAGTCTGCCTTTGAAGTTGCTTCTCTGCTGCAACAGCTGAGCTGGGAAAGGGCTGGAAGGCCTGCAGCCACACTTCAAAGCCACACCAGCTGATAGTACCACTTCTCCTCTCCCTACCCCCAGCCCACTCATCCAAGGGTTCAGTGAAACTATTTTCTTTGGAAGAAAACTGGAATGACTAATAAACTGGTAACTAACACTTGTGTTCTCCTTTTCCTCGTTTCTTCTCTTTTTAACGCATAAGATCTTCAGCAGGAAGCACTGGTGAGCCTCTCCTGGTGTCCGGCTTCATGGTGGTAAATCACTGTGTTTAGCTAGCGCAGCCGCACTAAAGGAAGAAGTTAGCCTTCAGAGGGCACAGGTGTTTGTTATTGATCTATACAGGTGGAAGTCTTTATGATTCATAAATGAAATGCAGAGTTGATCATGAAATTGCTGTAATGTCAGAACTATTTTAATGCTGGAGAAGAAATGGATAAAATTATAGTAATAAAAATCATTTCTGTGGCTAAGAATACATTTAACTTAGAAAATACAATTAAAGGGGGAAAGGACAAAAATATATTTTGCGGAGCCAAGTACTTCATTCAACAAGCTGTTGTGGTGTATAGACTCTGTGCTAGCTCTCTGTGATCTAAAGGCTATTCTAGTCTAGTAATAGAATCAGAACAGGAATAGGGGCTGAAAAACCAAATGGAAATAGAAAGGACACTTGGCTCACCTCCAACCTGTATGCAAAACCATGAGCATCACAAAGTGGGAACTCAAGCCTAGTCTTAAATCTGTTTCCCACTGGACGCCCCCCCCCCACCGCCAACATTAAAGCTAGAGCCAAACTTACACAAAACTATAAGGCAAGAAAAATATCCCACTCCTCTTTCTGTCCCTCTTCAACCTCCTGCAAGTCTATGCTCAGCACAGCCTTGAATGAGGATGTGAGAGTAAGGATGAGGCAAGAGGCTCCAGAACCAAGGGGGTGAGCCCTACGAACTCCCTGACGCACATGTGGAAACAGCAGCAGCTCCCTCCTGTCCTTGACCTCTCACCCCAAAATAAATGAGGGGCATTTAGCTTTGGATTTCATACTGATGTATTCTCCACCTTTATTTTACTCAGGAATAGTAAAAAACGAAAGCCAATTATATAGACTAGTAACATTCCACATTCCAGGTAGGAATAAATCCGAGGGAGGCTGCTCACTGTCCAGGCTTATTGGTAGTAGTCGAGCCCCCAGTGTGATGCTGAAGGCCCACTGTGTTCCCTTTTATTTTTGATGTTTCTAGTTCCGGAGTTCCTTCTCTTCCAAACAGAGAAACTACAGAGGTTTCGCTGTAAGGAGTGGCTCTCCATTGCAGGGATTTTTAGGAAAAACATTTTGACACATTCCAAACTAGCTGAAGAAAGTTGGGTTTTGTTTTGTTTTGTTTTGTTCCCTAGTTTCAGGGGTAGAATTTAGTGATTCATAGTTAAATATAACACCCAGTGCTCATCTATCAAGTGCCCTCCTTAATGCCCATCACCAATTATCCCTTCCCCTCCCCACCGACCTCCCCTCCGGCAACACTCCATTTGTTTCCTAGAGTTAAGTTTTTTATGGTTTGCCCTACAAATCAAAACCACAGTGAGGTATCAGTTCACATGGTCAGAATGGGTAAAATTAACATGTCAAGAAACAACAGATGGTGAGGACACAGAGAAAGGGGAATCTTCTTACATTCTTGGTGGGAATGCAAACCCGTGCAGCCATTCTGGGAAACATTATGGAGGCTCCACAAAAAGTTGAAAATAGACCTACCCTATGACCCAGCAGTGGCAATACTGGGTATTTGTCCAAAAGATACAAATATAGTGATTCAAATGGGCACATACACCCAACTGTTTATAGCAGCAATGTCCACAATAGCCCAACTATGGAAAGAGCCCAGATATCCATTGACAGATGAATGCATAAAGAAGATGTGATGTATATATATAGATAAATATATATATGAAAAATTATATATATATAACTTTATATATATATATAAAATATATATAGATATATATATGATGATATATATAGATATATATATGAAAAACTTTATATATATAACATTTTATATATATAAAACTCAACCATCAAAAAAAAGAGATCTTGCCATTTGCAACAACATGGATGGAACCAGAGGGTATTATGCTGAGTGAAATAACTCAATCAGAGAAAGACAGTTATATGATCTCACTCAAGTGGAATTTAAGAAACAAAACATGAACATGGGGAAGGGAAGGAAAAATAAAATAAGATGAAAACAGAGAGGGAGGTTTTTAACTGCAACCAACTGCTGGTGTTGTTAAACTTAACTGAAAATGCATCTGGCCTCAGAAATCGGAATTTCTTTAAAAAATGAGCCATATAAAGGTAAGGTATTTATGACAGAACAAGTAAATGTATGTTTAACGTATTCATTTGGGGGGAAGTGATTGCAAGTATCTCTGAGTAACATTTTATTCTGAGATTTAGAAAACCAGGCCCATTCAAGTGACTACAATCTAATACAATTCTTAGATCTCAAAAGCTTTCTAGCACCTAGTATTAGCATAATAACTAGCCCAAAGTAAATGCCTGATAAATAAGTGCTGAATTAATTAATTTGCTTTTAACAATTTGTAGAGTTGATGTTTTATTTTTCATGTTTTTGAAAAGTATTCTGCATCTGGTTTCTTTGAAAGAAAAGACTGTGTTGGTTGTGTGTTTGTGTGGTTGTTTTGCCCGAAGGTATTTCCCAGTCCAATAGCTGAGATATATAGAATTTAAGTGGAAAGCTACAGTGAAATTGGTTTGAGGAATAGGACAGAGTTCAGGGCTTCTGGAGAGACTGGAAAGTGAGAAGGAACATCACAGAAAGAAAGGAACCACAGAAGGGGGAACTCCAGAAGCTGCATATAAATACTGACAAGTCCTTGACTAATCCCTGAACTACAAATCTACAATGAGAGACTGTGGCAGAAAGGAGCCAGGCAGAAAATAAACAGCTAAGCAACTGAAAGAATTAAGCAGAGTCCTCAGCTGCTGCCCACCACAGGAGATAGAGTTTGAGTCCTGCTGAATTGCCTACTAGAACAAAAAGGCACTTTTCAGAGGAAGATAACAGAATGTAGAATCTCTGTACCATATCATCCACAATGTCTAATATACACTAAAATAATTACAGGAATGAGAACAACAGGAAAATGAGATCCACAGTCAAGAAAAGAGATGGGACAATGTGGTCCGTAGTCAAGACAAAAATAGTCCATATAAACTGACTCCAAGACAACCCAGACGTTGAATTAGCAGACAAGGACTTTAAAGTAGCTATTCACATATGTTTGGATAAATGAAATTGAAAGGCTTTCTCAGTAGCAGATTTGCTGTACAAGAAATACTAAGGGAAGTTCTTTGGGCAAAAGAGAAATGATAGCAGACGGAAACTCTTGACATAATGAACAGTCAGCGAGACACAATGATAGTGCTTTTACCAAATGAAGATAAAGAATAGGTAGAAGTTTCTTGTGCTATTAGGCCTTTTCTATAAGCTTGAAGGTTTTTTTTAATTATAGAAAAATATTTGTAAATCAATTTCTTGGTAAATCAGATTCTTTTCTGTGCATGTCATTCCAACCACTGGCAAAACTGAAAAACAGACAAGGTGTCCAAAGGGCTCTGAGACATGCTTCTTTCTTCTCTACTTCATCCCACAGCACTCGATACTCTATTCTCCATCAAAATCTACTGCTAAGATAGAAGCTAATACACACTTCCACAAAGGAATAAATGGCCGATAACAATTAAAATGTTACTTCTCATGGGGCATTTGTTCTGCATTTTAACTGAGTCTTTAACTGGAGAATATGAAGATTTCAGACATTACAGAGCAGCGGTAATTTTTAGGGATAAGAGCTTTTTATGGCCTCTTATGGCCTCATATCATATAAGCCATTAGCTAAACTCTGCCTATTCATTTAGCTACCATTT